GAGTGGTGCAGTCAGGTGGCTCAAGGTGGCTGAGCAACAGGTGCTTGGAACACCGGCGGGTGAGCAGGACAGCTGCGGCAGCCCTGAGGAGTGGTGGGCCCTGTCCTTGGATGCTAGGACCAGGAGCTATGGCAGTCAGAGCTGGGAAGCGCAGCTGTGGTAGAAGCAGAGCAGGCATGTGCTGCCTGTGTCTCTGCCATACTGCTCCTCTGACACAGGAAATATCACCCCAGGGGTCACAGCATGGAGGGTATGCTTTCAAGATGGCTGCCAAGTGCTGGCAGCCATATGGCTGAAGGCTGGAGCTCCCCCTGGTGGCCACAGGGGCACATAGGGCTGGACTGACCTGGGACTAAAGTTAGTCCCAAGTCCCATCAAGTGTAGATACCTGCCAAAAAATGCTTAATGCACATTAAATTTAAGCCCACTTAAGTTCATGTGTAGACATGCCCAGTGTATACATAGGACACATCCTGCAGCCTGAGCATTTGACAAAGTTTCCATTTACTGCTATGAACTACAATCTAAGCTTGATTGCTAGAATTCAACCCTTAATTATACTATGGCACAGTGGAGTTTTGTCAGTTCAGTGACCCTATATGGGTCTGACAAGCTTAACCAGGGGTGCTAAAATGTAAAAAGGGGTGTCTTCTTCACATATCTGTCAGACAAAACAAGAAGCTGCCCAGTACTACAAATTCTGTTTGGGGTTCAATTCTCCATGTCCATGTGTCAGCAAGGTCCATTTTGATGGGATGGCAGGTTAGCTCCACGTCTTTTACCACTCGTCCCAGGCTGAAGCAGTCGCACTTCCTTGCACTCCCTCAGACACTGGTGTAAAAAGTACCTCCTGCTTCCGTTTCTCTTGTTTTGTTAGTTTGCACAATTAGTCTCATTTGGATATGGACATTAAAATGGCCTAAGGTTGCCTCATAGGCAGCAGTTTACAAGATTAATAAGACCATTTCTCCCCTTTATTTTCAAGCCAGGAGGAGCCATTAAATAACCCAGTACTGTTTCCCAAAGTGTAGAGTATGCCTCCTGGTAGGGCCTGAAAGTGGAGAAAACATGAAAATAGGACAGGGCCAATCAATAACAGGGGGCATCAGCAAAGGTAGTGAAGGGAATCAGCAGCAGGCGAAGTAAAGGGCAGAGACACAAGTGGCTGTCTTTATTACAGTGGGATGTAAACCCATCAGCATTGGGAAACGCTGACAAAATGTAACCTTAATCAGACGTAGGAATGATTTTCACCTGGTGACTCCTGCAGCAAGTTCCAGAATGGGTACTCAGGCTCTAAAGTGTTGACTTGGGGAAGAAAACCAATCTTAGTTTCAAGATTGTGAGTGGTGGAGAATCTGCCACTTCCTCAGGCAAGTTGTTCCAATGTGTAATTTCCCTCACTGTTCAAAATCCAGACCTCACTTCCCATTTGAATTTGTCTAGCCTCAGCTTCTGGTCACTGGATCTCCTTAACCTTTTGCAAGATTCAAGAGTTCCTGATTATCAGCCATGTTCTCCCCATAAGGATACTTATAGCCCATAATTAAATTTTTGTGATTTTAGTTTTGGTCAGTTTAATACAACTCAGGGGAATTGGAAATTCACAGCTGTGGTTTGAGCTGTAGCCAACGGAAGGCAACTTGCATGCAACATACATTTCCCGCAGCCTCCTGCCCAGTACTTCTAACCAAACCAGACCTCATACTGTTGATGACTGAGCTGGAGTACAAACTTCCCCCTGATAATTCATTTCCTTTATTTGCTTTTCTGCAGCTCTGTGAATCTCAAGTGTCAGGAGCAGAAGAGGCCCTCTGGCCTCAGTTCCCCTCAGTCTGCTGTGAAAACTAATTCTACTTGTGATTTAGGGCTCTCAAGGGCTTGAGGAGTAGGTGCCTCCTGTGCTAAGCATATGTACAACCTTCCCCGAACTGCCTTTATTGAAGTAATTTCCTCCCCCAGTTTCTCTCTCAGGGGCTTTTGTGTTCAGCCTCCCACACATGCACTGAAGAGTAGCAGGGAGCTTAGGACGAGCTGCTAGACTAGTTTAAACAGAATGCGGGTGACTGGGTGAAAATTACATATGCAAGGCAGGTGGTCCATCTTTAAAGGTTTTTCCCTCCCCAACAGCCTGCATTTGCTTTCATGGTGTAACTTATGCATCATAAGGAGATATATTTAATACCATTAAAACTAATTGCCCTCTGTGTTGCATAGTAAAGTGACTCAGGGGAGAGATTTTGTGCAAGTATTTTGGATAGCAGAATGAATGTTGAAAGGAATTACCATAGCACAGTGGGAGGTCTGGGTTTTTCACACACTTTTTCATCTCTCTGATGTTATTTCAGTTCCACAGAATGCTGGGACATAAGGATGTGGTTTACCCAGTCACTTTGAACCTAAAATATAGAACCAATAGTATGCACCAGCACACCAATCCTTTGGCCTTGTCTAGACTAAGATTTAAAGGTAGTTTTAGCATATATACCAGGGCATGTTGGTGGAGCAATTTAGGCAGCTCTCTAAGGCTTCAGAGGCATGAATTTAAACCTCAGTCTAGGCTGGTGCTGAACACCAGCCTGGACTGACCCAGCTGTCAGTGGGTATTTGGTCATTCAGACTGGGAGTCAAAGGTAGCTGGATATGATGCTAAATTACCTGGTTCCCTTGTGTACCACTGGCTACAAAACTCATGCTAGTCCAACAGGCTTATGATTGGATGGATCTTTGGATTTGTCCAATGTAATGAAGCCTGAGCAGGATGGGATGAGAGGAATTGATACATACTTCCAAGTAGCACAGGGGAGTGGATGTTCAAAGTGAAAACTGCAGAAAGAAGTTTAATGGCATTATCAACATCCATCGGTCCCTGCTATACCCACGCCCTGCTGTTTCAGAGGCTGCCTGGCTTTTTCCAGCCTGCAATTCCCTTTTTGAGGCCTGCATGGCTGCAGGGAGAAGACATGCTGAGTGAGTCCTGGTGTCCTCAGTGGGAAACTTCTCCTGTGAAGTTTTAGGCCTGTGGCAATGGGAAGGAGTTGCCCTGGTTAGGCCGTATTTTGCCTCTTATTCCAAGTGCTGCCATACCTGCCTGAACTGTGGCTGATGTGACTGCATTCTATCTGTTCCACCATTGATAGGTGCTTAATTGTTTCATATACTTTAGTTATTTATTTGTAGATTTTCCCTGCTGTGGTCGTTTCTATAGCCCTCAAGTAATTTCTGTTTTCATCTAAGTGTTTTTCTATGACCCTAAACAGATAGGAGTGGCAAAATTTCTGAATTTGGGTACTAATTTCATCAGCAGTGATGTTTCCATTTATATAACTTTCTAATCTGAATGGCTGTAAGCATAACCTTCCAGACATGAACTGAGAGCAAGGCCATGCAGTCCTGTCTTCCAATGCCTCTTCTCTTATTCAAATCTCTCTGACTTCATCTATGAAAACTAACCAGGACGCAGGCAACCGGTGCCTCCCGAGTTAGGAGAGGCAGTGACCGGGGGGCAGGGGAGTTTCGGGGTCCCCCACATCCAATCACACCAACCCAGAAGTCCCAGCAGCACACCTGGAAGTGCCAGTGACGCTTCTCCTGGTGCCCCTACTCCCCAGCCAGTACTCGGGGGGGGGGGGGGGGGG